GTGGTGGCCTAAAGCCCAATGATGTTCTAGAACCATTCAATTATATAACTTCCTAGTGAAAGACCCATGACGAAGAGGCAGGTTCCCAGGGTACGCTTTTCTCCATTTACTTCTTACCTTTGTTCTGGAGCATTACCTTATGTATAAGAGAGTGTAGTGCAAGGAAATGTAATTCAAACCATGTTATAAAGGATTCTTGCGTAATAATTAACCATGTGATATTGACAGTTTAAGCCTTGAATTTTAGAAATCATTTTAATTATGTAGTCCTGGAAGTCATTTTCTTCCAATAAACCATGAACTCTTTTTTTTTTTTTTAAAGAGATTTATTTATTTGAAAGTAAGAGCTACAGTGAGATGGGGTGGGGGAGGAGGGAGGGAGGGAGGGAGATAGAGAGAGAGAGAGAGAGAGAGAGAGAGAGTGTGTGTGAGTCTTTGATCTTCTGGTTCACTCCTCAAATGGCTACAACGACCAGGGCTGGTTGAAGCCAGGAGCCCAAACCTACATCTGTCTTCTCATAGGTAGTAAGGGGCCCATGTACTCCTGGCTATCTTCCACTGTGATCTAGGTCCATTAGTGGGAACTTACAGAAAGAGGAGGAGAGACAGATATCTTTCATCCAGGGTTCATTCCCCTAATGGCTGTAATGACCAGGGCGAGGCCAGACCAAAGCCAGGAGCTTCCTCTGGGTCTTCCACACGGGTGGCAAGGGCCCAAACATTTAGGTCATCTTCTGCTGCTTTTCCACATGCATTAGTAGAGATCTGGAATGGATGTGGAGCCACCAGGACTCAAACCAGCGCCCATGTGGAATGCTGGCACTTCTGGAGGCAGCTTAACCCACTGCACCAGAGAGCTGGCCCACTAAAAATTCTGAATGACAAGGTTAAATATATGAATATACAGCCTAAAGACCAACTCACAGCCAGTGGTAATGAACCAGTTTTAACTTTACCCTGATCATTACCTTCCTTTCAAGGAGGTTTTAAGAAAAGGCATGTATTTAAATGTGGCCAGCAAATGTGTCTTCAGAGTGCTTTCGAATGCTGATGACATTGCCTGTCATCTTCAGGGTAGTGTTATCTGAGCATTACATGCAGCCTGACTTAACATCCATGTTAGAAATTCCCACCTCTGTGCTGGCACTGTGGTGTAGTGGGTAAAGCCTTTGCCTGCAGCGCCGGCATCCCATATGGGCGCCGGTTCTAGTCCCAGCTGCTCCACTCCTGATGAGGCTCTCTGCTGTGGCCTGGGAAAGCAGTAGAAGACGATCTAAGTACTTGAGCCCCTGTACCTGCTTGGGAGACCTGAAAGAAGCTCCTGGCTTCAGATTGGCCCAACTGCAGCCATTATGGCCATTCAGGGACTAATCCAGTGGACGGAAAATCTCTGTCTCTCCCTCTGTATGTAGCTGTACCTCATAAATAAATAAATAAATAACCTTAAAAAAAAAGAAATTCCCAATTCACTTTGTCCATGTATACAGTCACCCAAATGTCCATATAACACCTTGCATGGAAATAATATTTAAGTGTAAATGAAACTTTTACTAATTCTGATTTTTAACCCACACAGTATTCTTTGTGAAAAGAATATCTTATTTTTTAGATTTATTTATTTATTTGAAAGTCAAAGTTACACAGAGAGAGGACAGGCAGAGTGTGTGTGGGGGGGTCTTCCATCCGCTGGTTCACTCCCCAATTGGCTGCAGTGGCTGGAGCTGCACCAATCCGAAGTCAGGAGCCAAGAGCTTGTTCCAGGTCTCCCACGTGGGTGCAGGGGCCCAAGGACTTGGGCCATCTTCTACTGCTTTGCCAGGCCACAGCAGAGAGCTGGATTGGAGGTGGAGCAGCTGGGACTCAAACTGGCTCCCGTATGGGATGCCAGCACTGTAGGCAGCAGCTTTACCCGGTCCGCCACAGCGCTGGCCCCGTGGCAAAAAGATCTTGAGAATTAGCATTTTTTCATTTGTTTTTCCTTTCTAGGAATATGGAGAGGAAAACCATTGTGGTGCAAGTGTCAACAACAGTCTTTTAGAAGTAGCTCCTCAAACCTTTACTTCTTAGTGGCACTGAGATAGTGTGGGGTGGAGACAGGAGTGGTAGAAAGCGACATTCAGTTTCTGGTGAGTCATATTTTGAAAATTGTGCTCGGCCTGAAGAGACCATTAAACTAAGCACATATGGACAAAAGAAGCTAACACTGACTGAGTGGTTATTGCACACAATAACCACTTTTATTTCATCTTTTTAATGTATAAGGATCATGCCCATATTACAGATGAGGAAACATAGCAAAGAAAGTTTGGAGAACTTGACCAAGATCACAAGCCTGAAAATGGCTCAGATATAAACAAAGGCATTCAAATTGCAGATCAGTCACACTCTCATCCTGTGCATTTGTGCACCTAGAATGCTGGGATAGCCTGCAGAGGGAGACAAATCTTTGGCCTGAAGCTTGCTCCAAACCTGCTGGGCTAGCAAGGATTCCTGGGCAGAAGAAAATGTGCATTTCTCTTCTCTTTCATCAGCTTCCTTTTATACTGAACATTAACTTATTTGAGTGGCAGGGAGAGACAGACAGACGACAATTTACTTCCTAAATGCCCAGCAGCAGGGAACTCAATCCAGGTCTCCTGTGCAGGTGCCAAGAACCCAACTATTAGAGACCTTGCTGCCTCCCAGAGCCTGGATCAGCAGGAAGCTGGAATCAGGAGTGGAGCCAGGGCTCAAATCCAGCACCCCATTATGGGACATAGGAGTCCCAACTGGCACCTTAACCTCTGTGTCAAACACTGGTGCCTGTGCTTTTGTTTGAAATTCAACTAAAAGGAGCTGTGGCGTAGCGGGTTAACACCCTGGCCTGAAGCACTGGCATCCCATATGGCCGCTGGTTCGAGACCCGGCCGCTCCACTTCTGATCCAGCTCTCCTGTGGCTTGGGAAAGCAGTGGAAAATGCCCAAGTCCTTGTGCCCCTGCACCAGAAGATCCTGCCTCCTGGCTTTAGATTGGCACAGCTCTGGCCATTGCAGCCATCTGGGGAGTGAACCATTGGATGGAAGACCTCTCTCTTTGGCTCTACCTCTCTATGTAACTCTGTCTTTCAAATAAATAAAAATAAATCTTAAAAAAAATTCAACTGAAGGGACACAGCATAAGCTGCTGTGAGTGGCTTGGGTCAAAACATTTGTTCAAATGTTTATAGGTAAGCATTTTGGCTCCTCTGAAAGAGAATTTTATGCTTCATCCTACTGGGTAAAGGTTTCTGGGCAGGGCGACAGTACAAGGTGGGAAATTATAACTAAATGCCCGTTCAGTGGCACACTCTCATTTAAGATCGCAGTCACTCAGTGCAGTCACTGATGTTACCCTCAGCAAGAACTAGGGCTCAGAGCGCTTGGTCTCTCTCAGCTTCTTAGGCAACCTGCTTAAGCAGAGTTGGAATTCAAGTCCCACTCCGTGAATGTAAAGGCTGAGTTCTCTTCTTCTAACCTGCGCACAAGTCAAAGATCTGTTTTCATCCCTAAAGAGATTAATTCTTACCTTAGGCCTCTGAACTACATCCGAGGTAAGGCAACGAACAGAGGAAGACTTTACTCCTTTCCCTCTGCATTTTAGGACTGACACTGACGTGGCTCATTTTCACGGCATCTTCCCTATCTATTGAGATTTCTTTTAGCAGGGAGTTTTCATATATTTTGTTTTTATCGTGAACTACACTGAATTCATTTGTATCACACTCATCTGTCATCTTAAAAGAAAGCATTTCACGCAGTAGAGGGCCTTCGGCGGTTAAAGGCATTTTCAAATTATCTATTTCCCTTCTCAGCTGTCAGGCGGCTTCACAAACACTGGCAGCAGACCAGGACTCATTTATTGGAAGGGTCCTCATGCTCCCTCCGGACGAACTTGGCCCATTAGTGCCCTCTCAGATCAACTTGAATCTGTACGCGTGTGCATGAACAAAACACTTAAGAACTCTGCTATGCCTGCAAATGAGGCAGGACGTCACTCACACCTGAAGAGGGGACCATTACACTTCAGCTGAAAAACAAGAACAGCTCGCCATGTTACTTCCCCAAAGTTTCCGTTAGTTCCCAATAACGTGAGCTATTGGATAGTGTCTTGAGGGTATTGCTGTTGGAGAGCACTAGATGCTAGTGCCCTTATATGGAAGTTAAGTGTTTAGTGTTTCCTTACAAGTCGTCCTGTTGGAATTTCTCGTCCGTGTGAACACAGAGCAGCAGCCTGTCTGAAGTATGGCACTAGGGAGGACTCAAGCCTCCTCCAGAGCCGCTGGAGGCCACCTGGGCTGCCAAAACAGCATGGGTGCTTCTAGGGCTCCCCAGTTAATGTAAGGTTTGAGATCAAAGGGGATTAAAACCATCATACATGCTTGAGGAGAGAAAACAAGTTTCAAAATCTCTCCAAAACGAAATCTGGTGACAATGGTCTCTTTTTAACTGGAAAGAGGGGAAAGAGTGCTAGGGAAAAAGAGAAGAATTAGCAGGAGACAGGTCAGCAGTCTCCTAGGACAGGGATAGGATCAGTCACTGGAGTTAGCTCTAGAAACGTGTACGGACTAGGATCCCACTTTTGCCCCGCACATTTGAAGTAAAAGTGGAAAAGACATTAGTGTTCATTTCTACTGTTTCGATTAAAGGACAGTAATGGAAAATATACTCAAACACATTATTTGAAATGAAGCAGTACATTGAGAATCAAGTGTATTTTCCTTCTTCTACTCCACGTAGACATATTAATTTGGAATCCAGATAGGTAAAATGCATCCCTTTCCGTGGAGGGAGATTGAATGATAGCTGTGGGCTCTGGATTTTGAACTCAGGTCTAGCAAGGGTTTACTGTGGGGAGCACTTAGGCGATTGCTGCAATTCACTGGGGTTTTCCCTGCACCTGTGAATCTGGAGGTAACAACAGTGCACACTGTGCCATTCAAGCTGTGGGGTTTTCTCAGTTGTCCTGTCTGTCTGTCCTGAAGGTCCAGTTGAAGAGTGAAGAATCCAAAACATTTGCAATGAAGATTCTCAAGAAGCGCCACATAGTGGACACGAGACAGCAGGAACACATTCGCTCGGAGAAGCAAATCATGCAGGGCGCGCATTCCGACTTCATCGTGAGGTAAAGGCCCTGCCCCTGGAGGCGAATGACCCCAGCGGCCTCCGCCTCTTCGGCTCACTCTTTATTTATTTTATTTTTTTTTTATTTTTTGACAGGCAGAGTGGACAGTGAGAGAGAGAGACAGAAAGGTCTTCCTTTTCCATTGGTTCACCCTCCAATGGCCGCCACGGTCGGCGTGCTGCGGCCGGCACATCGCGTTGATCCGATGGCAGGAGCCAGGTGCTTCTCCTGGTCTCCCATGGGGTGCAGGGCCCAAGCACTTGGGCCATCCTCCACTGCCTTCCCGGGCCACAGCAGAGAGCTGGCCTGGAAGAGGGGCAACCGGGACAGAATCCGGCGCCCCGACCGGGACTAGAACCCGGTGTGCCGGCGCCGCAAGGCGGAGGATTAGCCTAGTCAGCTCACTCTTAACACATTGTGCTCACAGAAAGAAACTTACTTTTCCATCTAATCTGAAAGAAGTTTACTTTAAAAAATGATTGATTCTTTTTTAGGATGTATTTATTTCTTTGAAAGGCAGGCAGAGTCAGAGGAAGAGACAGGAAGTGAGACCTTCCATCCCCTGGATCATGCCCCAGTGGCACTTGCTGACAACAGGATCTAACGTGAATTTAAGTGACCACTTCTTGAATTTCATGTGTCCATAATTGTAAACTTTAATCTACTTTATGTCATTTGCACTGCACATTTATGACGATAAAAATGTTGCTTGAGAGTCCATGCTCAACATACCAGCCAAATCGGAATTGAGAAGGTCATAGGAAGAAGGTCATGTGGATGAACCCGTTTCAAGGGAAAGATCAGCCCCAGTGGTTTATAAATGTTATTCACTAGCCTTTGGGCTAGGTCTCTCTCATTCCGATAAAACTTTCAGCTTGCAAATCAAAGAATATCATCTGGGCACTCAAAAATCTTTATCCTTTTAAAAGACACTAATACTTCTAATACTGGTTTTCTTGTTTGCAATTTACAGACTCTACAGAACATTTAAGGACAGCAAATATTTGTATATGTTGATGGAAGCTTGCCTAGGAGGAGAGCTCTGGACCATTCTCAGGGATAGGTAAGATATTTCAGAAATTTCACAGAGTGTCTCTAAAATGTAATTCCCCATGATGGTCTGTAAGGAGAGCCAATTATTATAAAGCATGAAAATCATATTTATACTTTATGGATGCTTATATTTCTTAATGTGAACAGGGTCACTATCCATGTATAATTTACTATAAAACTCACTTGGTAACTTTTTCCTGAGCCTCTACCTTAATCTTTGGTTTCAAAATTAACCTGTTTTCAGCCATCTATTTTAGCCCTTAGCTGGTCTTAGGAAAACATGAGCCCACTTAGAAGCAGTATTTCATATAAACAATCTCATTTAGATTTACTTTTCTACCCTTCCAGAGAAAGTAAAGTTTGTCTAGATAATGGTGGCTTAATTTTTAATTATGAAAATTCATTGTGTCTCAATTTTTCATCCTATGTTTATATAACTAGAAAATCATCTTTTTAAAGGTTATTCTATAGGAAATTTTAGGAGATTATTATCTATCTTAAGTGTTTACTTTTTAAAGAAAAAGGACATAATTTTATATTCCTGTGGGAAATCTTGTGATTACTTCCTTTGAATGAACCACTGATGATTCCAAAGTCGTGTTTTGAATATTCACCTTTAGACATCTACAGATGTCTTGTTTGTTCCAGCCCTGCCCCCTAGATTCTCCTTTGTTGTGTAACATCTTCCTGAAACCCAGCTGTACATAGCCTTGGTGTTCCCAGAAGCCTTGTAATGCTTGACACTTGTTACTTTGTTGATGTCCCAGAATAGAACAAGTGGCTCTTTATAAAGGATTAATCTAAATGAAATGATGTTACTAATGTTTTTAAGGTACCCTGATATTTTGTACAACATGCCCTTTCTGATCTTTTATTCCCCTGTTTTTAACTTATAAGAGGGAAAATAGGCTTAACAGATAAGTTTATTTTAATGCAGTTTTTTGGGGAAATCCATGCAGTTTTTTCGTAATATGCTTGTTCCATGAACATTCTGAAATCTCTACATATAGGTCAAATGGATTTCTCTTTATGATATTTTATCATATTACATTAATATTTTGTCACATTTAAGATAAAAACATACAAAAGAATGCATCATGTTCACGTTAGAGAGAAGCATTACCATCTGTACTAAATTATTATTTCATAGCACATCATTGTATTATTGTTAGTGGGTATTTGAGTATAGATTATATACCAACCATTCTGATAGAACCTGGAGATTCTGGGATAAGTAAAACAGATGTGGTCCCCTCCTTTGAATTTATAACCTACTACACAAAGTTAATTTACTGATTTGTAAAGTAATAAGTGACATATCCTAATGTGGTTCAGCTTTTTTTAGATTACTACGTTTTTATTTATTTGAAAGGTGAAGAGAGTGAACTGGTTCATTCCCCAAATACCCACAATAGCCAGGGCTGAGCCAGGCGGAAACCAGAAGGCAGGAGCTCAGTCCAGGTCTCTCATGGGTGGCAGTGACCCAGCTAGTTGAGCCATCACCTGCTCCCAGTTAGTGCATTTGCAGGAAGCTGGAAATGGGAACCAAGCCAGGACTTGACCCCATGCATTCCACTATGAGATGCAGGCATTCCAAGTGGCATCTTGTCTACTGTGCCAACTGCCCACCCTGTACTATTTTATTTTTGACCTGACATTTTGTTCCAGTGGTTGATTTGAAATCTCCTTAATACTTTTCTCTGATTAGAATAGGAAGAAATACACAGCAAAATTAAAGATGAAAACTCCAATCAACTACTATTACCTTTCTTAACCAGAAGACAGTAATGATAAAACTCATTCTAAAGTCCACTCATAATGCATTACGTATGCTCACACATTAGTATTCAAGTAATTTTTGGAAGTAAATATTATCTCCTATTTTCCCCATTTAACTTGATTTTATGCTCTGTGTTCCTTAGTGTCAGGCAAGGCTTCTGAGCACCTTCCATTTTGATTTGGCAGGGTAGTAACAGGTGGCTATTTGGAAGCAACTTGCTTTGGGAGCAGCAGATGAAGGGAACATATCAGTGGACGTTGATTTTTCTACCTTGATCCTTCCCTTAGCATTTTTCTCCCTCTTAGCATCCTCAAGTTTGGGATACACCATCGCTGAGTTTCCTCCAAGATACCTAACCCCATAAAGAAGCGTGGTCCGGAGAAGTAGTGGCTACTTGTTTCTTCCTAAAAATTGAGGTGCTGAAGCCCCAACATTAAAAGCAGTGAAACCAGGGTGGGTGTGTGGTGCAGCAGTTACGATGCAGCCTGGGATGCCTCCATCCCACCTCAGGGTTTCTGGGGTTCAAGCCCGATTCACTCCTGATTCCAACTTTGTTTTAATGCCTACAAAGGGAGGCAGGAGGTGATGGGTTAAGTACTTGTGGGAGACCCAAATGAGGTTCCTGGCTCCTCTCTTTGGCCTGGTGTAACCCCAATGGTTGCAGCCATTTTGGGAACAAACGGTTAGGAAGTATCTGTCTGCCTTTCAAATAAAATAAACTTAGAAAGAAAGCAATGAAACTATTAGATCCTTGTCCCTTGCCAACTTTATGTATACATGCAGATTTACTGCTTTTATTTTCTGTGATTTTTCTTTTTTCCTCCTCAAGAAATTGTTGGTGGAAAAGCATCATTTTGGATATCCAGGCTCCAATTACTATTGCCACTGACTAGTTTTCTGTTTGTTTCAATTAGAGCTAAAAAAATCTTCAAAACTGTTAGAAGTGAACTGAAAAAATGCCAAGGGAAGGATAATGTTATTATGCTTAATTATAGTGTAAATGAACATGTGTACAGTAAAAAATTATTCAGTTTTCCTTTTGTGCCTGAGTAGCAAGGCAGTGTAGGAGAAGCTGTTCTGAAAGCACACAGGAAATGTGTTGGGATTTATTTGGAGAAGGCTTGTGTGGCTTTCTTCTTGACTGACATGGAAATACCTCTGAGCCTTAGAGACTTAGCACGGGAAGTCCCTGAGAGCAGCTCAGGCCTGCCCCTCCTGTCGCCTTTGGGCTGGGACCATCACTCCCTGCCTCTCTCTTTGCTCACCGGCATGGGAAGGGAACCCAAGGCAGCCCTCGATTCGTTGTCAGGAAGTACGAATTAAAAAGAGAGCAGCTTTATAAAAACATAATTTGAAAATGATTAAACATTTTCCTGTCTTTAAGCCATGACCTAAAGCATCAGCATAGTTGTCCTTTTTTCTCTGATTTATTCCTTATTAGCTGTCATGTTTTATATTCCAGCTTGTGACTTCTGTCTTCCAAAAGCCCTGGCCCTTTATTTGGGATAAGTTGGTAACATTGTAAGAGTATATATGAATGTGTGTGTATATGTATCTGTTGTAATTCATTTTTCCTCCCTAACTTGTGAAAAATTGCCAACCCCTTAAACTTTCTTAAAACCATGTGTTTAATATAATAATTATACATTAGCATTTATATTAATGCATAATATATAACATTATCACTTGCACACATACTAGTATTCAATAAAATTTTAATCTAGTGAGACTAATCTAGTGAAATTTAACATTTCAATCATTTATCAGAATTTAAAATTTTTTTAAAGAAAACATTCTATTTCCTTGAAAGGCAAAGTGACAGAGTTCTTGCATCGGCTGGTTCACTCCTCCAAATGGCTGCAACAACTAGGGCTGGGCCAGGCCAAAGGAGGTGCCTGGAATGCCACCCAAGTTTCCCAGTTGGATAGAGGCCCAGGCACTTGGGTCAACTTCAGCTGTTTCTCCCAGGCACATTAGCAGAGAGCTGCATGAGAAGCAGAGCATCTGGCACTCAAACCGGTGCTCTGAAATGAATTGCTGGCATTGGAGACAGTGGCAGAAACTGCTATGCCACAACACCAGCCCTAGGTTTTTTTCATATGTAAATTTTTCCTACTGAATATCTTAAATAATTATTTCAGAGACCACAATTTTCAAATGTCAAACATCTGCCTATTTAGGGGATGCTGATTATTTATATTCCATCTAAGATGACTGAATAGATGGCACAGACTATGTCCTTGGAAATACCTTGAATTTTCAAAACTCAGCCTCCTTAATTTTACAGTTGGCAATAAACTTGCATAGAGTGTAACATATGTCAAGTTTTTGCACTTACTAATAATCATTGTTACTAGGCACAGAAAACCCTGAATGTATCATTTGTTAAGAAATATTTTGCCTTTGTTTTGACATGGGAGAGTAAGTTTACTACAAATTGATTAAGCATTGTACTAAAATTTCAAGTCTATCAATAAATACATACAAGGATACTTCAAAAGACCCATGAAAATGGAGTTAAATAATCAGTTTATTTTGGTACCAAAAATTATGGAGACTTTGCATACAATCAGTTTTCAAAAAGTTCATGACATGTATATTAGAAAATTATGCATAGATTTCAAGATTCTTTGCAGCAAAATATCCTGAATTCTGTTTTCCATGAATTTTTTGAAGTACCCCTCTATAATCTAATCCTCTTAAATTGTTATGTACTGCCAGATAACTAGAAAAGCTATTCTCCAAGAGGGTAAAAGGGCCTATACTTATTGAATTGAAATGACACAGCTGTCAAGGCACAATTTATTATTTTAAATATCTATACAGAACAAGTGATTTATTTCTTTAAGCAACTCTCCACTGTTGCTAAAACATAATTTCTTTTCTGTCTTAGATCAAATTTGCCTTGTCGTTTCCAATTCCATTAATAATTTTTCATTTTTACTCACCCTATGTTATGCTTTCTGACCACTTTCAAGATGTGTGTTTTAAAATCCACAGCTTACCTACATCGAATGTTTGGTAGCAAACAGTGCACTGCTGGTAAACAGCTTGTGTGCATAAACTGTGTTGATGTGTTGAGGTTTGAAACAAGGGTTTTCATTTAATTTTTAAAATTAGTATTTATGAGATACAGATCTGTTGGAATGGAAACCAGCATTCTAAAATCCTACCAATTCCAAAATGACTCAGGACCAGACAAACCTTGAAATCAAAACCAAAACAAACAGATTAGGAGCCAAAAGACTCAAAGATTATGATTTGTGGCTAGTTTACTTCATGGTGAAAAGGGAGTATTTTGATTGGCAGGTGATAAAAGATCATTTTTGCCTCAGACTTGTAAGAAGTATGGGGAAAGTGAAAAGAAGAGAGATTAGCGGAGGGCTCTTCAGAGTTGATTCATAGATGCTTCAGTTAACAGTGATAATTAGTGTTGCAAACTCTCCACCTCCAGCCCTAAGATGTGAAACCTGTCCTATATTTTATTAGTTTATCTTTCTAGATAAAGACACAGTGGACTCAACAAGAGACAAGAGTTTTTGGTGTTCAATTACAATGGCCACTGTTTGTTGAGTATCACTTGGGTGCCAGGCATTTCTTCTAAGATCTCAAGAGAGTTATTATTTGCCCTATTTTGTACTTGGTAACACTGAAACCCAGAGAAGGATAGTTAGTTGCTCAAAACTGTATAGTATATGCAGCCTGGATTTCAACCCAGGATTCTTGCTTTAGAGTTCAAATTCCTAAGCCTCCTTCCATAAATTTGAGTTTGTGTTAGAATGTTTCCCTCTTCCTGCTTATGACCAGCTTATCCATCATATAAATATACTATTCAGGAGGAATTGCCCAAAAATGGATCTCTCACCTAAATATGTATTCTTGTTACATTAATAATGCATTTGTGCATTTGCTTCCATTAACAATGGAATATTAAAGAAAGCAGAGATATTTCATGCAGTGACAACTGCAGAAATAATGTCTTTTTATAGCAGTAATAAAGAATTTGTAAACATCCATAAAGGCCCACTCAGATCACATTTAGACAGCTCTGATGTAAAGAAGTTATCAATTTGATGTTTAAAGCAACCCATGTAATGTGAGTAAAATATGACTGCATTCCTTGTACTGTTTTACTTTGTATTGCTTTGTGTGCTTTGCTTGGCATTGCTTTCCACTGCGGAGGGATTGAAGTCACATAGGGTGCTCGGTGCTGTTAAAATTATATGTTAAATATTTATATATTATGTATACATGGATGCTTCCTATTTGAAGTAAGTAATCTCTCCAGTTGAAGGAAATACCCTCTTGATGGACAAACATAATTAAGAACAAACAAGTACAGGTCTTGAGTACACCGTTGGAAGTCTTTTCCCAATACCCGGGACTACAGAGTCTGGCTCTGCTGAGGACAGCTCCAAAGCACCAGCAAGCACGTCATTCAGTTCTTAGTATAGATGCAGTTCTTCTCAAAGAAACTTTCTCTTGCCCTCATAAATTCACAATGATTCCATTCAGATGTTATTGGAAAGAGATTCAAAAATCTTGGTAATTATAGTTAAGATGCTAGTTTCTAGAGGAGTGGTTATCATCATGCATGGAATTGTATTTCAAAAGAAGGGTATTGCTTTTGGGAAGAGCTAATTATTTCAGTGGCAACTCAGGGGAAATTAATAATTGAAATGAAGACTTTATCTCTCTGAAACACACTCACTGAAAACAGCCTGAGAGGTAGTTTCTTCCACCTTGGGTTCACTGGTGAAATTTGTAAAAAATGTAGCTTTACTGCACTGTCAGTTTGTTAGACTTTCTTCTTCAATTTTGAAAGAGGTGGCACCAGCATTGTGGCACGGTGTGTTAAGCCTCCACCTGCAATGCAGCACCCCATATGAGTACTGGTTCAAGTCTCAGAAGTTTCATTTCCCATCCAGCTCCCTGCTAATGTGCCTAGGAGAGCAGTGGAAGAGCTCCCAAGTCCTTGGGCCCCTGCCACCGAAGCTCCTAGCTTCAGTTTGGCCCAGTCCCAGCTATTATGCACATTTGGGTCATGCACCAGTAGATGGAATCTCTTTCTGCCTTTCAAATAAATCTTTTTTTGGGGGGGGGGGGGGTGGCAGAGTTAGACAGTGAGAGAGACAGAGAGAAAGGTCTTCCTTTTTCCCCAAATGGCCGCTACGGCTGCCGCGCTGCGCCCCGATCCAAAGCCAGGAGCCAGGTGCTTCCTCCTGGTCTCCCATGCGGGTGCAGGGCCCAAGCACTTGGGTCATCCTCCACTGCCTTCCTGGGCCACAGCAGAGAGTTGGACCGGAAGAGGAGCAACTGGGATGGAATCCGCCGCCCCGACCAGGACTAAAACCCAGAGTGCCGGCACCACAGGCAGAGGATTAGCCTAGTGTGCTGCAGTGCCAGCCAATAAATCTTTATATATATTTTAAAAAGGCAAACAGCCATGAGGGACTATGATAAAAATAAGCTCTGGGGGTAATATTTGTTGCACCTCATCAAAAACCATCTCCATGATTGTCACCTATGTTTTATCTCAGCTACCCCAATAGCTGATGTTCATATTAATGTTCTTAAATTATTAACTCAGGCTTAGCAACTGAGAGAGAAGAAAAGAACCTGTGTGTCTGTAAGGTTTATTTATGTATCTGAAAGGCAGAGTTAGAGAAAATATGAATCTGTCTGCTGGTTCACTCCCCAGTTAGCTGTAATGGCCAGGGCCAGGCTGAAACCAGGGTCTGGAACACTGTCTGGTTCTTCCAATGTGGGTTGCAGAGGCCTAAGAACTCAGGCCATGTTCGGGTACTTATCCAGATGCACTAGCAGGGATTTGGATCAAAAATGGATCAGTTGGAATGCAAACTGGTGCTCAAATAGGATGCTGGCACCTGAGGGGGTAGCTTAACCTGCTACCCTAGAATGTTGGCCTCAAACACAGTATATCTTAAGGAGTTCTATGAAAAACAAAAGCATTTAAAGCATAAAGGTCCTTCCTTAGCATTGAATGTTATCTCCTTTGTTCTAAGATTTATTTCACTAGTTCAGTCAATAATATGTACACTTGTATACACATATACCAAATATTAAAAAGTTGATGAAAAAAATTGAGATAAGTTTATTTTAGAGCCGAAGTATTTTGAAGTCATACTTTTTTCATAATATTCGTTTTCCATGAACTTTTTAAAGTATGCGGTATATATGAGTACATAATTATAGAGATGAGACAGCACTTTTTTGCTAAACAACATTGTCAGTTTTACTAATAAAGTGTCTCTTCCAGTTACCTTTTCTCTCTAATTGTTTTTCAGTGTCAGCCTTTTCTACTAATAAGAAGGCAGTAGTGCAGGAACTAGATCCGGTTGATCTGGATAACAGAAGTTTGAAAACAGGATTGCAATGTAGCTTGCAACACGACTGCATGGGTGGCGTGACAGCTGATTTCCAAGGGGACTCTTGGCAAACATGAGCTTTCCCTTCCTTTCTTATGAGTAATATTTGCGTCAGATTCAAAAACAAGCCTCCCGCCAGTCAGTGTGAATCAAATCATAATCTCCAACTCTGAAAAAAGATGGCCTCTCCTGCCCCTGATGTAACTCTCTGCCTTTCTAGATTGTAGTGGCTGCTGAGAGGAAGCCCCTAAGTCCACGGGTTGCATTCCTCTGCAGCCCTCTGAGAAGTTAGATTTACTACACCACTCAGAAGCGTAGAGAATTCATTGATTCAATCCTGGGATGCTTTATAATCCAAATTTGATGGTAATCATGTGGCATTCAGTCAGTAGGGCATTGGCCACTGGGTTAAATTTTGGCTCAGGAACGTATTTAAATGAGGAAAAAAAATACCTTATTAGGGAAAGCAATGTCTCTTGGACTTTTCATTCTATTTTCTATCTTTCAGAGGTTCATTTGAAGATTCTACAACCAGATTTTACACAGCATGTGTGGTAGAAGCTTTTGCCTATCTGCATTCCAAAGGAATCATTTATCGGGACCTCAAGCCAGAAAATCTCATCCTAGATCACCGAGGTTATGCTAAATTGGTCAGTGCGTTTCACACATGGTTTCACACATACTTGTTCATACAGCTGTGTTTATTTGCTACCATTAACATTTGTTTTCCTTTTCAAAAAGCGGGTCCTGGAATTTTAGTTTAACTAAATATTCTTTCAAATTATGCAAAAGTGAAAAAAATCAACACCCTGAGCAAAACATGCTTTCAGGTATGCACTGGGAAACACATTTGCAGCAGGTGTTCACAGACCTGCAAGAGCTTCCCAGAGTCCTCCTTTCTAATCAGACTTCTACCATCCAAGGACAATAGATATTCTGTTATGGGAAACTGAAGCATTTTAATATTTAAGAATAGCACTAATGGAGGAAAAAATGAGCTCTATAGCTCATTTAAAAATAGCTAAAAAAATAGCTTTATAATAATATATAATCCAGGCTATGATGATGATGGTAACTGATGAAAAGCTCTAAAGATTTACTGTAGAAAGGAAGTTCTCTTCCTTAAAAATGGACAACTTTCGTGGACTTTGGATCTGAAATGCCTTCTTCTATTTTTAAACTTTGGGAATTTTAATCCAGAGTTGGGTTTTTATTTATTATTATTATTATGACAGGCAGAGTTAGAAAGTGAGAGAGAGAGACAGAAAGAAAGGTGTTCCTTCCGTTGGTTCACCCCCCAAGTGGCTGCTATGGCTGGTGCACTACGCCGATTGGAATCCCGGAGCCAGGTGCCTCTCCTGGTCTCCCATGTGGGTGCAGGGCCCAAGGACTTGGGCCATCCTCCACTGCACTCCCGGGCCACAGCAGAGAGCTAGACTGCAAGAGGAGCAACCAGGACAGAATCCGGCGCCCCAGTCGGGACTAGAACCCTGGGTGCCGGCGCCACAGGCAGAGGATTAGCCAAGCGAGCCACGGCGCCAACCCAGAGTTGGGTTTTTAAAGAAATCAAATCAATGGCAGTAAACTGTAGACTCCCTCCAATCTTTTAAGGAAAAAAATAGATTGTCTGCATTTGAGGCCCCTCTCTCAACAGGTTTCCAGAAAAATAAAGGATGTATTTTCATTTTATCTCTGTGTATGTTTGCCAAGGGCAGTATTTTTGGTATAGTAGCTATGTCACTCACCTCCTTCAACAATCCAGTTGGCTCTCAAATACTTAATACAAAATGAATTGTCAACTTCATCAAGTCCAGAAGAAATCATGTGTATTTAGGGAAGATGCTAAAAAGGCCTAAATTATAATTTTTAGTAAAGACAAAATGGTTTGATTATTCCACAACCTCTGTTGTCATACAGAAGAGAAAAATAAGTATTTCCAGAAACAAAAGGTCGCCTTTATTTTAATGATGTGAATTATACCCAGTTCTTAAGTTTAAGCTTTTCCCACTGAGGACGTTTGTTTGTTTGGGATGTAGATGATTCTGTTTGAAGATTATAATGACTTGCACTTGTTTTGATTTTTTTTTTAAGTATCATCAGTGTCCTTCAGTAAAATAACTTATTGTTTTACATCTTAATCATAAATGGCTTAAGTAGCTTGTTTTCTTCCTTTGTAAGGTTGATTTTGGCTTTGCAAAGAAAATAGGATTTGGAAAGAAAACATGGACTTTCTGTGGGACTCCAGAGTATGTGGCTCCAGAGATCATCCTGAATAAAGGCCATGACATTTCAGCCGACTACTGGTCACTGGGAATCCTGATGTATGAACTTCTGACTGGCAGGTATGAACACTCACAGCAAACTTCTAAGACAAGCAGACCACAAAAAACTGCAACACACACTGCTTTTAGTCTGATAAACTCATCTTAAACTTTATTTCACCATGTTTCAGTAACATACTTCCACTAAACAAGCTTTAAAATTGGCCAAATGAGGGGCGGCTCAATAGGCTAATCCTCTGCCTTGCGGCGCCGGCACACAGGGTTCTAGTCCCGGTCGGGGCGCCGGATTCTGTCCCGGTTGCCCCTCTTCCAGGCCAGCTCTCTGCTGTGGCCCAGGAGTGCAGTGGAGGATGGCCCAAGTGCTTGGGCCCTGCACCCCATGGGAGACCAGGAGAAGCACCTGGCTCCTGCCATCGGATCAGTGAGGTGCGCCGGCCACAGCGGCCATTGGAGGGTGAACCAACAGCAAAGGAAGACCTTTCTCTCTGTCTGTCTCTCTCACTGTCCACTCTGCCTGTCAAAAAAAAAAAAAAAATTGGCCAAGTGAGGGCAATCAATGAAACATCAGTTTTTGGTCTTATTGCTATTCATTATACATATGTGATTGTGAAAGACCCAATGTCTACCTTTGAGGTATTTGGGTCTAGTCATTTAGCCAGCAATGTAAGTGGTAGCTAAATAAAATATCTAGGATCAACTTTATATAGAAGAGGACCTGTCAACAATTGTTAGGTCTAAATGAAATGTGAATGCTTTGCACATTTTTTGTCTGATATTACAATCAGCAACAACTACAAAAGACAGTAGATAAACCACAAAGTATAATACCACCACAGGCTTTTGAAGGACCAATATTTAGAGGAAAATTAATATATCACCATCACATATGCTGAGGACAGGAATAATATGATTAGGATGATCTATGGAGTTTAGGAGAGGGCTAGGTTTGTCCAGGGAGGCTTTTGAGGAAGATAAGCCTGCAGCTAGTCCTAAAATCAAGGTATAGAAAGAAAAGGAAAGGGCATTCCTGAGAGGCCCGGCTTAAAGCGATAGATAGTGAGCACAGGCATGGAGAAGGTGTGTGTAGAAAATAATGGGAGATTACGAGAGCCCCATTTCATGGATCATCACTGCTTGTGCCTGAGGGTCTGGATTCCAACTAGAGAGGGAACTAGTGAAATTTTCAGATAATGGAATGAGTGATGTGTATTCCAGCTTTTTTTAAAAAAAATATTGCAAGTTATATATAGAGAAAATTGGAAGAGGGTTGGGAAGGCCAATTTGAAGATCATTCCAACAATTTAGGTCTAGGAGGCAGAGAGCATACAACAGGGTAAAGGGTAGTGGAAAGGAAGGGGTAGGTTTTAATGAAGATGACTTGGTTGCGATGGTAAAACTGAGAGGAGTAATGTATAAAACACTTATACTAGTACCACTACCCCTGCTAAAAGCAGTTTTGCTTGTAAAAATGCCCATACATGGAAATTCAGTAGTACATCTGAAATGTTGATGTGAACTTCAAATAAATTATCTATGATCTAGCCCAATTTTGTTGAATATTCTCCTATACAGAGGAAATTGTTTTAAATGTTTTACAGATTAAGTGGGCATACAAATATTTGGAAGATTTGCAGAATAGAAAAAGTAAAATTTAGCATACATCCATATTTTGATGGATGGAAAGACAGTAATATTTATAATTGGTTTTTATGGCACACTGAAAAGACTTAACTAAGGAAATTAAATTTTAACTATTAATAACCAGGCTGAAATTTTTTGTTCTTCCTTATATGCTTAGAAATTTTTTAAGTAATAATAAAAAAGATGAAAACCTTATTTTTAAAACTAGCATATACTAAACTATCATAAATTTTTAGTAAGAGAATACTCCTTTGTCCCTTAAAGCAGAAATTTTGCAGGCCACAATATCTGAATGGAATGTAATAAAAACTAGAAGTAGCAAATTTTAAAGGAGAACGTCTAAACCACAGAGTCATGGAATTTATGGAACATCAGAGGAGTAATAAAAATAAAATTTTGTTGTTTGGCAAAAGCTGCAAACTAAATTTATTAACCTAAATACATGAGTATTCAAGAAGTTCACGGAAAATGGAATTACAATTTAACCTTAATTTGACCAAAAAATTTTGAAAAGGTATGCATATGTGAAGTCTTCAAAAACTTCATGAAAATTGTATATTGTAGAAAATTTTTCAAAAAATTTTAAATTAACTTGTTTGTTGTTTATATGCAAACAACTTTTAATTCCATTTTTTCCATGACCTTGCCAAAGTACACTTATGTATTATTCAAAATATTCATCGTGATTAAAAATAACTGAGCTTAATTAGCACCCACTGCAAGAATAAAAAAAGACTTCTACTCTAACATTGCAGAGTAAAAACATCTATTCTGTTTTCCTCCTTCTACCCAATGAGGTGATGGTGGCAGCTAGGGTAGAGTTGGGAGAAGATGAGAATACAACATGCAGGATGATGGTTACAATGTACAGTCTACCAATCAGACCTGCCAAAACTATGAAGTGTGGCACGGGACTAGGAATGATGCTGACAGATCTCCTTGGGCCAGAAGAATGTCATTACTATTGATGTGCCATTGGAGTGGTAGCAATCAGAGGACTGAATGGACATAGAAAGAGCAAGAAATGTTTGCTAGAGATCCAGATAAGCATTGCAGAATAGCAGGAGAACTAAGGTGAAAGGGTCTCATGCAGATACATGCTCCTACCTTGGAAAGCCCATAACATAGGCCTATGAAGTGAAAGAGATCAGGATAAAAAGAGACACGGTAACTTCAAGATGTAAGACAATGTGGTCTAGCTACAGCCCCAAGACCACATGAGTGTCCCATCTTCCTCCCAAAAATAATTCAGAGCAAAGTAAGTCAAACAGCTGGTGAGAGATTTTTATAAGGCAACAGATCCTAGGGAAGGCTGGCGAATTTCCTATTACTCTTTTCCCATCAACCTACCCTGTTCTATTCTTCAGTGTAGCTGGCCCAATTTAAGGATGAGTCATAAACAGAAGGAGCCCCAAATAGCTCAACCCCTAAAACTCTCACAATCCCAGCCCCCTTTCACACACACTTCAACTCCTTTCTTACTTACTGATGATGTTCAAGATCCATGGGGCTCCCCTCTGACTCAGGGAATGATGAGTTCATCTCCTGCCTCAGGTTTAGACTCAATTCACTTACCCCAAACAGGATTCCTCTGGTGATTGGAATTGATTGAATTAAACAGGTAATATACAGCCTTGAAAGACCAATCTCAGTGCCTGAAGTATGTCTTCACTAAATAATTGCTGAATGAACATGAGCCCCTATTATATTAATCAGTTTGAGTTGGTGCTTTCTGTTAATTTCAACTGGAAAGTACGTAAGTACATGGAAGTTAAGGAACTCTTGGGAGAAAGTAATCAGAGAAACATTATTATCTATAATTTTTTTGAGGATATTCAAATCATGGTCTCTCTCAGTAGTTATCTCCAAGATATTTCCAAAGGTTCTTAGCACAGAAATAAAGTGGCAGGCTCAGGAACACTACAGAACTGAAAGTTGTACAAGCAACAGATAATAGAATAACAATTTACAATGTAAGCAAGGTAATAGTAATTATGCCTGAGGAAAATAATGGAAAAGGAAAAAGGATACGGAAACAAAAGAAACCAGAAAAAAATCACATATATAAAGAGAATATTGCAAGTGGACCAGGAAAACATACAGGTACTTAATTACCTCATGAAAAACTCAAGGCAGGAAAAGATGACCCGGGCACTCTTGATCTGCAGTGACCGTGGGGAAGCTGATTCAGAGAAATACCATATTGTGTCCAAGTGTCACTTCCTAAATTCAATGATAAGGAATGATCATGTAGGTAGCAAAGTCATAAAAATATATCCTGTCAGTTCTTGGGTGTGAGGAAGTTCGGAGTTCCAGTTGGTCTCCACCTTCGCTACTGTACCTGAAATGCCAGAATCTCAGTAACTGTGGCTTCCTGAGGGAGGGAGGGCATCAGAAAGAGAGTGGATAGCCCAAGTTACTTATACCAAGTTATGTTTTTCTTAAAATGCAAACACATTATATAAAGTTTTCACCCCGGGCCCTTCTTAGAAATACTGCGATATGATCAAGTCAACAAAAAGATAAGTAAAAATAAAGCACTCGGGAATGAAGAAACTGGTAAACACATTGATGGTGAGCTTTGAATCTAAATTTGGGTTACTTAACGGAATGCAAATGTAATTGAATCCTAAAATAACACTAAAAGCACCACAGACTAAGGTGGGAAGGGGAAGGTACAAGTAACTAGAAGTGTACTGACTGCTCATGATTAGTAGTTTTACAGGTCAAACATCAGCATACAAAATAAAGCTCCCTAGTTAGGTGTCTTGAAAAATTTCTTAATTTTAGAGGAATAATTTAGGGATTAAGTTTGTTGGTGATGAGTCACATTTCAAATTTAGTGTTTCTTTGAATTTTGCTCATCAGCTTAAAATTAAATGACTTTTCTTTTAAATGTATATATGTATATATATATGTATATATATTCCTATGTGCCTCCATCTACTTAGAGAAATGTATGAATTATGTTATTCAGTTATTGATTATTAGTGATATTTTGGGTAGTTGGATGATTTTTACTTCTAAGTAATTTTATGTTTCATATCTTTATCTAAAAGTGTATCAATTATAAAATCCACAAAAGTCATCCCAAAAGAAAAACCATTAATTATAAAATATTGAATAGATAACAAAAATTAAAAATACAATTCTCCTACCTTTTCTAAAGTAAAACTCAAAACTGGCAAGTTAAGAGCATAGAAAGAATATTCAACCATAACACCACATAAAGAGTACAAAATTAACTCTGAGAATATTAAATAGAATTTTATGTTTATGCATGTTTAAAAGTGATTTGAAGTTGACAGGTATGATTACTAACTGATGGCATAATACAAGAAAATTGAAAGTACTTGTCACGGAAAATCATGGCAAATATAGTCACAGTCTTCAGCAAAGCAAATCTGCTTTTTCATATTTTAAGTAACATTATTTTTAGCCTGTACAATAAAAGGTTATTAATCAATATGAGTGATCAAAAAATCCATACATTTTCTTCCCCAAAGTGATACAAATCCTGAATTAAGAGAATAATAAATTCCCCAAGAGACTGTTTGTTGTAATACAAACTTACTGTCCCCTCTGAGTTAGGAGAAATTTGAAGGAAGGATCTGTCTTTAGTTATCTCTGTGTTGCCTGAGCCTGGCACAAAGCTACATTCCAAGGATGGATAGGTAAAACATGAACAAACAAAATCAACACATCTTTCTTGTAAACAGTTATTACATCTTTACGAGCAAAGAGGATACGTTCTGTTATCTACTGATAACGGAGGAGCACGATTCTGTAGGAGCATTAGTTCAAGTATTAACAGTCTGGAAGGAAAGAGAAACATGAAACAAGTCCTTGTGGGAATGAAGAGGTAATTACACAGTACCGTAATTTGCAGTTTAGATTACATCAGAGTGATGGAGATAGGTTTTGTTACCAGTTATAGTAGGTTGATGAGAGTAGGCCTTTTGTGGGAAGCAGAAATAACACTTACCTGATTTGCTGGATAAAGAAGTTCCAGGCAAAATGAGCACTGCCTTGAGATGGGTACGTGCTTGGCATTTCAGAGGGAGGCTGTTATGCCTGGGTTCCAGCATGCTGGCATGGAAGGGGGTTGTACTGTTGATGTTCATTAGTAATGATCTTGGACTTCTTCCCATGTGCATTCAGTGAGTCAGTTAGTGCAAAAAAGGCCAGAGAGTGGAAAAGACATGTTAAATGACCAAGGACAGTGAGAGAAATTAGGCACCGCACTTAAAAGAAGTGAGGCAAACAGCAGATAAAGTTGGCCCATTTATGGTTTTGGTAAGTGATTTAATTGGCAGGGCTTCCACAGGGCTTTGCTGTCAAGCAAGTTTTATAAGCATTCTTATTTTGAAAATTACAGTAGTATCTCTGATTCTTTCAGCCCACCTTTCTCAGGCCCAGATCCTATGAAAACCTATAACATCATATTGAGAGGCATCGACATGATAGAATTTCCAAAGAAGATTGCCAAAAATGCTGCTAATTTAATTAAAAAACTATGCAGGTAAGCTCTTCAAGCACATTACTTTTTAAAGGATCATAGTGTGAAAAACTTAGGTTACTTACCAAATTATTTTATTTTTAGGGACAACCCTTCAGAAAGACTAGGAAATTTGAAAAACGGAGTAAAAGACATTCAAAAGCACAAGTAAGTGCTCTTTTTTTTTTTTTTAAAAAAAAAAAAAGCTTTAAATTTCAAAGTTAGGAAAACCTAAATTTGTTTTTAAGTCATTGGTGTGTAACTGACATAGTTGCCTATAAGAAATTGAAAGAGCGTAGGGGACTGGCATTGTGACTTAGCTGATAGAGATACTGCCTGCAACATTGGAGTCCCATATGGGTGCTGGTGGAGTCCCAGCTGCTCCATTTCCAATCTACCTCCCTGCGAATGCTCTTGGGAAAGCAGTGGAAGATGGCCCAATTGCTTGGTCCCCTGCTACCCACCTGGGGGACCTGGAGGAGGCTCCTGGATTCAGCCCAGCCCAGCCCAGCTGATTGCAGCCATCTGGGGGAGCATACTCACAGATGAAGATCTGTCTCTCTCCCTAAATCCGTAACTCTAAATTTGAGAGACTAGACTAGTTAGCCTTTTAAAGGCCTTTCCAGTTGTGTGTCTAGAGGGTTACTGAGACATGTCTAATGACCCTGTGACTTCTCAGATAACAAATTTCCTGAATTCAGTTTCTCTCAACTCACACTAGCATTTTCTTCTCTCCTGACACAAAGATAAAATATATACTTTAAGTTTTGAGCTTCTATTTACTACTGCAATATTAAAAACAAAAATCGCCTACTATATCATACCTCATTTCCTAGACTAAAGGCGAAATAAGTATATCCCAGTCGTTGTCCAGTTGAATAATGTGACAGGAAAAAAAGCACAGAGTGCAGTCCTTTTAAACAATCACCTTGTCTTAAACATCAGCCATCACCTATATTGGCTGGAAATTCTAAAGCTTAATTGCACTTGAATTACTTTTTCTCTATTAATATATGTGTGTAATACAGAAAATTCATGCCACTATCCAAATAACTTGTTTACAAATGCCTATGAATATTTCTAAGGTCTTTAAGAATTTAGAGGAAGCATTTGATAATGGTGAAACCTAAGACGTAACAAAAACAAAAAACCTTGTGTTGTACTATTTGGTCCTCATTTTCATAGAAAAGTTGCATGGTTTTGGCAAGTGGTTTACCAAGTACTTCCCATGCTATGAAATGGAATATGTAAAGACCAATATAGTGAATCAAGGGCAGAGACGGGAACTTACTTTTTTTGGTCCTGACTTTCATGCCTTTGCTTCTACCTCCTTAAAATATTCTGAAGGGCACCCGGCCAAGCATATTGTAACTTCCATTAAATTATAATGATAATGTAGGAGCAAGGCCACACGAACATCATGACTGAAATTACAAGGAGAAAAATAGAGTTCCATGTTAACTAGGATTTTAAATTTGACCATTAAACTTTAAAAATATTTCATACAATGAGCCAATTCTGCAATTAAATAGAAAATACTTTATCACATGAAAACATTTGTGTAACTGCTTTTTATCAATACAAATATGGTGTGTGTTGTAATGACAAGGGTTTAGATGGAGTGAAATGACTTTACCTCTCTCTTCTTCTAGATGGTTTGAAGGCTTTAACTGGGAAGGTTTAAGAAAAGGCACCTTGACACCTCCTATAATACCAAGTGTAAGTAGATGGCCCAACTTTTAATTGTGGGAGATATTTGTTGGCATGCTTTACTGGTCAGTAAAGATCTCTTCATGGTTTTTTTAAGTTTTATCCTATGATCAGATTAAATGAACTACTGCAGAAGAGCTACATTAAAATCATGATATATCCTAAAAACCAAGCAACTGGGGATAGTTATTGTATAGGTATTTCATTTTTTTTTTTAGCTATTTCTTTTACTTCAAATTTCTCATCTCAGTAAAAGTTAACTTTTAGTATGGGAAATGTTAGACACATAAGGATGTAGACCAATGAGCATGATTATTCTGCAGCAGCTGGTTTCAGCAGCCACTCTTGCTGTCCAGTGCTGTTTCATTCACGTTCCCACGTGGTTCTTCCCATCCTTCTCCCTTAAACTGGACGCAGTCCAGGCACAACTGTGTCCTCTCATCCTTCCACCGGGCTCTGAGAGATGCTCTTTTCTTACTACCTTGGGATTTTTTGTCACGCATAGTTTTGAATTGATTGCATTTACAATTTGTAAGCAGTACCACATCTGTTTAATAAAATCTGAGGCATCCTGACGTGTAGAGGGCTGTTCTGTGGTCCTGAGACTTGTATTTATAAAAGGCCTCTCTCGAGACTAACTCAAGACTCTTCATTGTACTGAAAAATTCTGCCATTTCCAAGATGTATTTTTGTGCCAATATTGTTTCTTCATAAACAAAGCAAAACTGCTGTTACTATGGCTCACATTACAGATGTTAATTGCATGCTTGTAATTCTGCTTTTAGAACAACAGTAAGAAGCTAGAAGGGTAAATATTCCACCTGTTTTATCCTACCATTAATACAGCAGGAGTCTCCTTCAACAGTAACATTAAATGGGCTCCACTGATGCTCTCCAGAATAGACTTTCCCCAGTCCATTCATGGGAGTTTTGCTGAGGTTGAGAACAGGATTTTTATTATACTTAGTATCGATAAAGGTAGAAACTCCCTAAGACGGCCTACAGACTCTAGGTAATGGGGCTCCCGCCTGCTTCTCCAGCCTCACCGCATTCTACTTTGCTCATTCCCCCTCTTCTGCAGCAGTCAAGTGGGCCGCTAAAGCATGGGTCTCGCTCCCATCTAAGGACCTCAGAATGTACTATTCCTTCTTTATCCAACACATTGATTCTTAGGTTTAGTCTCCAACAGAGACTAAACACGATCACACTTAGACTCTCACGGCATTGTGTGTGTGTGTTTTTTTTTTTTTTCACAGCACTAGCTCAAGTTTATCATCATGTAGATTATTACGATTCTTTTTAACCGTAACATTTATTACTACTGGAATATAAACCTCAAGAGGCTAAGGACCATGTCTATTTTTACTTACCACCATCACCCCTAATGCAAAGTACAGTGTCTGCTCTGATGTGGTAGACACTCAAAAAAATCATCCCTGGAAAAGGATTGAATAAAGAAGCTTTCTGCAATTCCAGCTTGGAACCCAGCTTTAAAAAGCAGAACACTTTTGAGCGTTCCCTCTCTCTCGTTCGCAGGTTGCATCACCCACAGACACTAGCAACTTTGACAGCTTCCCTGAGGACAATGATGAACCACCACCTGACGACAACTCAGGCTGGGACATAGACTTCTAATGCGTTTCTCTTACCTGCTTCTGCCTTGCTGAAGACAGCTTTTGCTGAGACACAGCTGCCAGCAAACCTGAGGGACAGAGAGAAGATTTGTGCTCGGGGTCACCATGATGCCTTTGATCGATGCTGCTCCAGTAACTCCAGTGGCATTAGGACTTCTTGCTTAGATGACAGTAGTGCCCTTTACATGTTTTCTGTTTGAATCTAAAATAGCAGTTGACATGGTGGTCCTGAAGCAAAGCCTTTCACCAGGAAAGAGAGATTTTCTATTGTTGCAATGATCTTGCTTTGCTCTGATTATATTCTGAAAGACTGTAGGAAACACTTCAATCTAGTCAGAGGCTGTACCTTGCTAGAACTGTCAAGAGGAGGAAGAGTAATAGATTGGGTACGACAGATTCCCATGGTACAGAAACGGGGATCTTCTCCTCCTTCAACTGATGGTTGTGGGGTCTGTTCCTGCAAGCTGGTGTATATACCGTACCAGAGAGGACCACACATCTGTTGGTCGCAGAGTTCATGTCAAACCAGTGCTAGAAGTTTCATGATTTTATTTCCCAGCAGTGCTGATGACAAGACTGAATGTTACCTTTTCTTTCTGACAGAGTTAAAAAATTGATGAAAAAAAGCACAACTGCTATGGGTTACGCTGAGACCTCTCATAGCGGGTATATATGCGTTTTTACAGAGGATGGAAAAAGATGCATGATATTTGTTTCTTTTTAATAAATTGGCATGACAGAGTGGTTAAAAAAAGCAATTCATGAAACCATTTCATATTTTTTAAAGTACCATGCTTAAAGAGGGTCCTGGAAATAAATGACTAGCAGCCAATTGGTTTTATTTATTACCTAACAAACCCTCAAACTGAGGCTTAAAATATTCCCTTTTATAAAAATATACCCGTGGGATGGGGATAGGGTAGGGTGGGGAGGGATTAAGACCCATCCAAAAAAATAAAAAAAAAAACGATATAGGTGCTATGTATATCTTTCATCTGTAATGTCAGTGTCTACACAGACAACACAAATTCTAATCATTACATGCGTAGCCAGAGACTCAAGAACTTTCACTAAATTTGTTAAACCAACTTCTGTCAGATTTCACGTATACAACGTATCTAGGGTTGAGACAGAGAGATAGGTGATTACAAAACTGAACTAGCTTCTTGTCTTAGGCCTGAACCAAAAAATAAAAATAAAATAGAAAGCACAAAGTCAGAGTTATTAAGATGTACCAGACCAGGGTTCTTATTTATTAAGGTCACGGTACAAGACAAGAACCTGGCTGAGCTCATGCACCTGTCACAGTAGGATGGGAATAGAAAATTTGTCAAAAATAAGTTTTAGCTGAAGTGAACAGAAATATTACAATTCTGAAATCTCATACTCACTAGACAAGACTAGATTTGAAATTAGCAAACTTCCTTGCTGTTTTCATCTGGCATAGCGTCTGCAAGTAAAGCTCAGTTCTCTGTCAGGAGCCCAGTTGACCACTGGCAGCTTTCATTAGCGGCTGAGCCACTTGGAAGCTTTTCCTGGACAAATAGCATTAGATGTATGCAGACAAACGTATAGCCTTCCAAGCTGTCATCCTGGTTTGAAATTGCCTGTGAATTTGGTATATTAAATAGAGATTTAAAAAAATCCAATTACATCATTATTTTCTAGCCAAATAAAGCATATATTAATTTTGGTTGAGCTTTTCATACAAAACACTATGTTAGAAGATCTTACTAAAATATACTACTATAAAAAACAGTTGAAAACCACCAAGGGTATATTAAATATAATCAGAGTAGAGTTCAATGAAAACTCTGATCCTCAGATGTTACTGCTACTCTTATATTATTGTTTTCCCTCCCTTACAAATCCTCAACAACAACTTATTGCCCAAGATAGTCACTTTCTCCTGCAGATTTTAGAATATAAAGTTGAGCATATCAACCGAACATCTAGCTCTGAATGCTGTTTTAAAGGTTCTACCCCTTTTACTAGGCCTCTTAATTCTAACTTTATAGTTAATGTTCAGCAATTTTTAAGAATATGGTTTTGATATGCCAAAAGTTTGCTAGAATATTAAAAAATCTTTAACTCTTCAAATACCCCCCAAAGCCCCACGATTAGAACTTCTTGTTGACTGCGGCACTATGGTTCAAGTCTAAGACAACCCATGTGTATAAATCCTATGGAGAAGGAACAAGTAGCATTCAGCACAATGTAATTGTAGGTTTTTTCCCCGTTCATTACTGCATCTTCATTCATGTCACCTGTGGCATTGCATTAACCTGTCTGTAGCCATCACCCAAAAGATAAAGGTGAACCGCCTCTTCCAAGAGTTGTAACAGAAACCAATCATCTAATTTTCAACATTACAATTTTAAGGATTTAACCTTGTCTTAATGAAGACACTAGGGCTAAAATTCATGATCTGCTTCATAAAGTACATCTCACTTTAATTCTGAATTTTTCCTGTCCCCTCTATTTTCTTACATGAAAGAACATCTGGATAGGTTAGAATAGTGCCAACTTGTTAGGGTTGTTAACTGACTTTCTTATTACCACTTTGCAGTATGAGAAATAAGGGCTTTCTGTGTGTCCTGACTCACAGGAAAACTGAAGACTGCCAAGGAAAGGAGCATCGTAATATTTGAGGTAGACTGAATACATTAGAGAACATGATTTCTGGAAAATTGCTATAAATGATTGTTATGTTTGTTACCTTGTTTTGAAGATATAAACCAGATCATTCTAGCATTTAAAACAAATTTATTTTGATTATATTCTTTAGAAGTAATAACTTTACTTAAAATTATGGAATATGCATGTGAACTACACATGCAAAATAATATATAAACTCAATTATTGAATTTGTTTCACTTCTAAATAACTAAACTGATGGTGAACGTAAAGAAGTCAGCTACCATATAGAAAACAAGGATATTAGAACTGATTTCATAAAATAGAGGTGATCTGTGCATTATCCATAACAATGTTTTCTTTCATAATAGGACCACAGACAAATATTTATGTAAATAGATATTTTTGTGTGATATTTTGTGGTACATATAACTTTTTTTAGTGTTTCACAGCATTATTATTTCATTTTATTTGTATTGAATACTGTTTTTAGGTCCAAGTAGACTTGAATTAATGTCATTGTCAGTATTATTGAAAATTATGTCAACTGTACTGTTATCCATCTGTCCCATAGTTTAGAACATGACCTGGCTATCTGGCATTGTTGCAAGTGCCTTAAATTCATGGCATCTTATTAAAAAAAACAAAAATTTGGTGTTATGCTGCATGACAAAGACAAACACACCTCAAAATGTTGTCCTTTCTTAGCTTGCTGCGTTTTACAGTTCTTTCTGCTAACAATTTATAAGCCTTTATTATATAATATTGATGAATTACAGAAATGATGAAGTTGTTCTCTTATTTCTGTTAAATGTACCAGAGCTGTGTATCTGTTAATGAGATACAGCGTCATTTCTGTGAAATGTATAAATGTATGTGCAGGTCAAATTAATATATGACATACTATCAGTCTGTATACAGGTATTCCTGTTTTGCTAAGCTGTGCAGAATCAGTTAAAAAAATTAGTGCAGTCAAGTTCTAACATCTCATTTTATAGATTCCATTACCAATGGTCCAACTCAAAAGAAAAATTGGAAAATGACTGCTAACCACACCTCGTTACAAAACCAATGATGAAAAAGTACCTTGGTGCACCACTCACCAAAACAGGATGCTTTCTCTGAGTTCTTGTATATGCAAACCACTTATGAGGCAAGTTTTCAACAGACCTAGAAAATCTAAACACTGCAAGTATATTGTAGCCCTCCTCTTTATCGGCCCTTGCATCAACAGACAGAGGTCTGGGACCTTGACAATGACTCAGAGGTTTGAGCTTTCTGAGTAAAAGGACATTTCTTTAAGCATCATCTATCAAATTTATTTCATTGTATGATGTTTTTACAACTGGTCAGTTTTTTTGTATCCTACAGCTATGGTTATTTGTCCTCTTACAATTTGTTCTACATGAAAGAGTCCTTTGTTAGTCAGAATGCAACAAACTGTCATCAAATGGTCATTGACCACTTGCACTCTTTTGATGTAGATTAAAAACTTTTTCATAAACTTAACCTGCTTTGATTTGCTCTGTATTTTTCCTGCAGCTGTTAATTGCCGAGTGCCTGTTGTATACTTTATAGAGTTGAAATAAAAAAAAATTACTTTTGAACTCAGTTGATGTTTAATTCTGAGCAGCGTTCCAAGGAGTTGGCACCTCATACTAGAACTGAATACCACGTAGCAGGGAAGCCTTTGGCACAGCGGTTGCTGATGCTTGGAACTCCTGCGTCCCATGCTGGGGTCCTTTGGTTTGAGTCCTGGCCTTACTCCTGATTCCAGCTTCCTATGAATGTGCACCCCGAGAGGAAGCAGGTGATGACTCAAGTGGTTTTGTCCTTGTCACACATATAGCAAACCTGGATTGAGTTCACAGCCTATGCTGCTATGGGCATTTGGGGAGTGAACTGGCAGATGTGAGAGTGTAGGACTGTCAATATAACAATGTGCAAAAGGCAACCCATTTGCTCTTCATCAGACAATGTAGTCTGATCTAATATAAAACTACCCCCACAATTCACTTTAAAGACTTCAATAGGAATAGTATTGGGCCATCCAGTGTGAATAGTAAAGCACATTTATATGCTCACACAAACCCAGAAAGTAGCACATTTCTGTGCTGTGCTATGACCACAGCCACCCCACACAGACCCATTCCTCATAAAACCTTGAATGAGTCAAACCATCAAAGGGACAATTCTTGTATCCTCCTACATCCTATGAGAGAATTGTATAATACAGAAAGCAGTTCTGTGAGATTCTGTTTAAGCTTTAAATTCATAAAGAAAATAGCTTTGGAGAATATGATTACAACACACTCAGCTCTCCAAAATGTGGTTAAATGTATTCTTCTTACATCCCTATGATCTTCAAAGCAATACATGATGCACAAATCAAAACTGGCTGCAGCATAAAGAATTTCAACAACTGGATTGGCAATGTGATGTCAATAAGAAAACTACAATGACAGTGAGTCGAAAATCCCCCATATCAGAAAACTAAAAATTTAGTCCAGTTAACTTTCTCTGACACAACTAAACAAATTTGGAAAAAGTCACTACAGCAATCCAATAATTTCATTTCAGCAAATCAAATCTTCAAATAAGCTTTTAGCATCTGTCCTTTGATTTGTATGGTTTTCATACTCTTAGTATAAGATTGGTCTTTCTTGATCCTGAAAGGTTATTTTTTGTGTGCATGAATGACACAATTTTAAAGGAGTATACAGATCCATAGTCCTTAGAGGGACAACAGGAAGCATCAGCAATGGTGATGTATCCATGCCACTGCCATTTCTTGCACATTTTAATTTCAATGGAAGTAAATCCCTACACAATTACTCAGCCATGACAATAGAAGTGACTTAGAAATTTGAGATGAATGGGCCACTGTGCAAGTACCCAAGCTTATCATGCATCTTGCAGAGCCACCTTCAGATTCTGTTATGGACTTCACTGTGCTGCCACATAATACAGGATGCCTACTACAATAATGTTCTTTTCTGAGCATCTTAGAGTTTTCCTCTGTGCTTTATAACTTCTCCTTTCCAACATAAAAATCCTAGAAATTGATAAAACCACAATGCTTATCTCCGTGCAAGTGTTTTGCTCCATAGATTTAGCTTAGGTAAAAATGATATATCCAAGTATATGCTCAATAGTATAGCACATGGTTTAAGCCTCCAGCTCACGGGGAGAAAAGAGGAAGGAAAATAGAGAAAAGAAGGAAACAAGGCATGCATAACAAACCCAAAAGGCTGGCCACAAATGTCATCAAGATTAATGGACAGGCTCAAGTAATATGATCTAGGCCAGTGTTTCTAAAACATTAATGCCATAAAATGTATCTGAAAATTAAGACAAAAACAGATTTCCAGGGTCACTTCTGATTATTTTGAAATCTAACACAGATATCTGATTTTTTTTTTTTTTTTGACAGAGTGGACAGTGAGAGAGAGAGACAGAGAGAAAGGTCTTCCTTTTGCCGTTGGTTCACCCTCCAATGGCCGCTGCGGCCCGTGCACCACGCTGATCTGAAGGCAGGAGCCAGGTGCTTCTCCTGGTCTCCCATGGGGTGCAGGGCCCAAGCACTTGGGCCATCCTCCACTGCACTCCCTGGCCATAGCAGAGAGCTGGCCTGGAAGGGGGGGCAACTGGGACTAGAACCCCGTGTGCCAGCACCGCTAGGTGGAGGATTAGCCTATTGAGCTGTGGCGCCAGCCTAGATATCTGAATTTTTAACAAGTATTATATTTTACTTTTTGGAAATGCTTGTTCCAATACACACACACACACACGCACACACGCATATCCATGTAAGAGAATCAGGAAAACATAATCCATGGGAAACTATTTCAGGAATGGTTGAGCAAAAGAATAAAACAAAAAATGAAGTATATGAAGAATCACGGTTATCCAAACCCTATTAAAAAAACCTCAAAATATTAAATGACAGTTACACGCCATCTATACAGGTGTTCTTTCAATTAATACATTGAAATAATATACTTAATAATCAACTATTTGCTAAAGGAAAGATTTGCTTGATTTACAAAGGCAATAAGATACAGTTATACCCAGGTGTTAGCTTTTTGTCACTATACCACAATGCCCAACATAGGTTACTCATGGAGGGAGGGAGGTTTATTGTGGTTCATGATATTGGACGCTCACAATCTAAAACTTGGCAGTCCCCATTCACTCAGCCATCAGGAGTGGAGCTGGAAAGTGTATGTGGAGGAATGACCACATAGCAAGCCAGGAAGCGCAGTCCCAAGGTGGCACAGAGCATCACGTGACAAAAGGGAATATCTATGTCTGTCTATGTTTTTCCTTATAAATCCCCCATGATTTGCTCATAGGACCCTTCCCCAACAGTCTAATCTAATCACTTCCCAAAAGCCCCACCTCTAAACACAACTGGATTAAGTTTCCTCCCTCATTTCTATTAACATAAGACTTTGGGGTCATGCCTTTAGCAAATGGGCCTTTGGAAGACACATCAATTAATGTCTAGGCCCCAGCAACCCAATTCTAGTAGGTGTGCATCAAGATAGGATACTAGGAGTTAATTTACATGAAGGCTCTAAGTTATCTAGGGGAAAAATAAAAAATAAAAAAAACCCATAAATTCTGGCTCCCCTGGATTTTGAATGCAGCTCCCAAATACCCAATTTCTCATTTTATGTAATTTTCCTGCCCCATGGGAGTCAGGTTTGGCCTTTTGATTTGCTTTGGCCATTGCCAGGTGAGACTGTCATTTCAACAGAAGCTTTAAGGTCCAGTGTTTGCCATACTACACCCCTCTTTCACTCTACTGTTAGGAAGGACAATTCAACAGTGGCCACCCTGTCAGCCTCAGGAGGTGAATGCAAACAGCAGTAAGGAGGAGTAGAGCCCCTAGCCAACTCGCACAGGCCATGTTGTCTAACACTACATTTGTATGCTTCATCCACTACATTTTTCCACTGTGCTTATTTCAGCAACATAGCTTTGCTCATCCCAACTGAGAAAGCTGCCATGCCCAGAAGACAGGTGCGACTGGCCTCAACCTCTGCAAGATGGTCCTTATGTGAATAACTCACCCTCAGGCAAAAGAGAACACAGTCAATCTTTAGCTCCTAAATCTTCAGTAGTAAAGACTTCGGTGAACACTTGGAGAATTCCCTCACGTGCCTAACTTTTTGACAAGAACTAACTTACACCCGACATGCAAAGAGATTTTTTAATATAATCACGGGAGGAAATCCAAACATCAAAAATTGATGCAGTGAGTTCTTTGGGTTATTTGTGGGAAGATGTTCAAAAATTTACAAGCATCGATGTTGAGGCATGAGAAGCGAAGAGTCCAGGAGAGTCTGTTAGTCGTGAACTCTGGAGATATGTGTTTCCTAAACAGCACAGCGAGAGGTGAGAGGCTGAGATTTGGAACACTGAGAGCAGGATGGACTAGGAGCAACGTAGCACCTCGGGTGTAACTCGGATCTCTTACGTGTAACTCTGCTAAGTCACATGTGCTACACATTTCTGTGTAATGAATGTGAACTACCTGGAGCTTTGGTTTCCTTCACAAGAAGGTTCATTTCGATAGTTACTTCATTTTCTGACCCTCCCTTTCATTGCTTTTTCCAAAAGGCATTGGCAAACTATGCCCTGTGGGCTAAAACTGGCTCAAAGCCTGTTTCTGTAAATAAACTGTTGCGGGAACAAAACCAATAATACTGTCTGCAGCTGCTTTTAGGTTATAGCGGCATTTGGGTTCCCCAGTGAGATAGAGGCCATACAGCAGGTAAAGCCTAAAATATTTACTGACTGATACTTCCCAGCAAAGTTTGCCAACCCTTGGTGAAAAGCAAAGGCTTACATTGAGTCAATCATTTTCAGGCTGTTTTCATAGAGTCAGGACATGGAAGTGATGTCTCAGAATTTGCCAGGAGAGAATGGGAAGAAGAGTATATGAGATAAACAAAGAGTATACGACAGAATTTGAGAGTAGAATCGTCATCAGAGGCTGGAGGAAGTGGCAGAAAAAACTAGCTGTGGGGGCCAGCATTGTGTAGTGGGTAAGGCCGCCACCTGCAATACTGGCATCACAGATGGGCCCTGGTTCAGGTCTGGCTACTCCACTTCTGATACAGCTCCCTTTAAAGGCCTGGGGAAAGCGCAGGAAGATGGACGCCCACTGCTCACATGAGAGACCTGAAAAGGGCTTCTGGCTCTTGGCTTGCACCTGGCCCAGCCCTGGCCATTGCGGCCATCTGGGGAGTGAACCAGCACATGGGATGATCGATCTCTCTCTCACTTTGACTTTCAAATAAATAAATCTTTTTAAAAAAATCAGTTCTAGTGTTGTCTCACAGAAGGGTGACTATAGGTAGTAATAATGTACTCTGTATTAAAAAAAAAAAAGAAAAGCCAGAGTAAAGATTTTGAAAATTCTCAATATAAGGAAATGATCAATGTTTGAAGAGATACATATAGTCACCCCAATTTGAACACTTCAAATATATGCAAGTATTGAAATATCACACGGCCCCTCCTAAATAGGTACTATTTTCATTTACTAATTTTTATAAATTTAAGTCCAACACATTTTTAAGGAGTAGGGAGTGGA